TCACTCTTGTCTTGTCGTTATTCTTAACTAATCTTAAGCGTCATGCGGTGCAAGACATGCATAACTTTGTTTGACAACGGGGTATTTAAGTAATGCACAACGATTGGTTAATAATTGATGGAAAAATATATTTGTCAAAAATTGATTTCCGCTTTAAACTGACGTAAGTAAATCTTCAGTTTTCTGGAAAAAAATAAAGCCTCATATATTACAAAGGAGTATTCATAATATTTCATCTTTAACCCTCTTATAGCTATAGAATTTGTTTAACTTAAAATTCAATTCAATTCAAAAGTTTATTGCACGCCTAATCTTCGGTGAGTTGACATATTTTTTTCTATTTGAACTATTTTATAAATACCGGTAGAAGAAATACTAATTGATTTGTTTTGAAACATGGTTGTTTATGTTTGTTTTAAAAAGTTGCAAGTTTGTTTAAAGTTTCATTCAGAGCGCCGCTGTTACCAGTTACATTTCTGGCAACGGAACTCATACGTCGGTTAAATGCTGAAATAGAAACATTCAAGGATATAAGAGGAAACGTTTAATGGGAAACCGGATGTATTATAGCAGGCTGTGTCTGGGAAAAAATCTACAATGTAAATGTACTTAGTCGCCGATAATAAAACGTTTGTAAAAAAGAAACACATATTGATAAAGCATATTATATTTGAATATGTCCTTAATATAGTTGAAAGAAAACAATGGATGTGTGATTTATCCTTTATTAGAGCGCATTGGTTACGTCATTGTTAACCGTCGTTAAGATTATTTAAAACACCAATCCGGAACACTATGCCGATTATTTTAGTAAAATTGAAATGAAAGTTAGCATGAAAAGTACAAAATGTAGGTCAACATTTAAAGAAAATCCTTCAAAAATTAAAATCAAACACAAAATACGTTATTAGGTCGACGTATTGTGTCGAAAGTTGTCTATGCAAAAGAAAGAGCATCGGAGCACGAGTCTATCCGAATTGTACGATGGGTATAAATCAGATTGCCAAGTGTTTTGATGTATATTTCTTTTGTATCATAGGCAAAAATAAAAAAACCCAGAATACCAGTCTACGGTCATCTGAATGAATATGTTATCTCTTTCCGTGATACGTTCACTAATCTATGATCAAATAAAACGTGTATCATAGTTTGGGGACCTTCGTTTGAAAGTGTGCAAGAGTTAAATTGTATACATATAAGCGCACAGTGCGTTAACTTGAGTGCAGGTATTAGGTACCCGCGTCACTCTATAGCATGCTCATTGATTGGCTCATTTTTTCCAGGGTTTACATAATGTGACGACAGAACATAACAGAACATACTTTTATTAAAGACTTATACATAGTATATTGTCCACAAACACTGAATTATCAGCAAACATGCAATATGTAAGTAATAAATGTTTTACAATCAACACAAGTACATTATTAGCATCTAAAAGTTTATGTGTGGAGAGTGACATTAACTGATATTTTTCATATCTTTTTTTGAAGTAACTAAACTATTAAAAATAACATTTATGTAATGAAGGCCGGAAAATCATCGTCTAAGTGGAGTTAGGATATACGATTATCAGATGAATGATTTAAAGACGTCCATGACAGTACGTATGATAATGATACTGTCACTTGAAACGGATGCCGAGGCGTGACATTCTGATTCGAGGGTAAGTAATATCACTGTCATATAAGCTGACATGTGATACTAATTTCAATATAACAAGCAAGTTTTCAAGGGAAGCTAATACTGAAAGAATTGGCTAAAAGTTCGAGGCAGTTATCTGCACTTATACTATTTTTTTCTTGTTTATATTATATTAAACATCAGCTATACTAGTCGTTTATTAAACCATTTGCTACCACTGTACTTTGTTGGTTACGTGAAACATTTTAAAACTGAAGAATACACCTTTAAATCCCACCGTGTACCTAATTATAGTTACTACTCTGTTTAGCACGAGAAACCCATGCGTGTACTTAAATAAATACATGTTCATATTATGAGGCCCATATGGTGTAGAATCTTTCAATTCTGAGTCACCTATATTCACCTTTTATTATTTAAATTTGAAATTTTTCAAAACAACTGATATGTCTATACCTACTTTAACGTTAATCACATGGAGCGTCAATTTCCTAACCAACTTCATTCGTAATTCTATGTTGTAATTGATTAAGCGATAACGACAACATCAAATCTTTTTCCTTCATTCATTTTAGGTTCGTACATAACAACACGCTAAACATTTACGAGTTAAGCAGTGGTATACAACAGGCCAGACATTTACGAGTTTAGCAGTGGCAAACAACACGCTAGACATTTACGAGTTTAGCAGTGGTAAACAACACGCTAGACATTTACGAGTTTTAGCAGTGGTATACAACAGGCCAGACATTTACGAGTTTAACAGTAGTATACAACATGCTAGACATTTACGAGTTTAGCAGTGGTATACAACACGCTAGACATTTACGAGTTTAGCAGTGGTATACAACAGGCTAGACATTTACGAGTTTAGCAGTGGTAAACAACACGCTAGACATTTACGAGTTTAGCAGTGGTATACAACAGGCCAGACATTTACGAGTTTAGCAGTGGTATACAACAATGCTAGACATTTACGAGTTTAGCAGTGGTATACAACAGCCAGACATTTACGAGTTTAGCGGTGGTATTACAACACGCTAGACATTTACGAGTTTAGCAGTGGTATACAACAGGCCAGACATTTACGAGTTTAGCAGTGGTATACAACACGCTAGACATTTACGAGTTTAGCAGTGGTATACAACATGCTAGACATTTACGAGTTTAGCAGTGGTTTTACAACACGCTAGACATTTACCGAGTTTAGCAGTGGTCTACAACAGGCCAGACATTTAACGAGTTTAGCAGTGGTATACAACACGCTAGACATTTACGAGTTTAGCAGTGGTAATACAACAGGCCAGACATTTACGAGTTTTAACAGTAGTATACAACACGCTAGACATTTACGAGTTTACAGTGGTATACAACACGCTAGACATTTACGAGTTTACAGTGGTATACAACACACTAGACATTTACGAGTTTATCAGTGGTATACAACACGCTAGGCATTTACGAGTTTAGTAGTGGTATATAACACGCTAGGCATTTACGAAGTTTAGCAGTGGTATACAACAGACCAGACATTTACGAGTTTAGCAGTGGTATACAACACGCTAGACATTTACGAGTTTAGCAGTGGTATACAACATGCTAGACATTTACGAGTAAAGCAGTGGTATAAACAACACGCTAGACATTTACGAGTTTAGCAGTGGTATACAACATGCTAGACATTAACGAGTTTAGCAGTGGTATACAACAGACCAGACATTTACGAGTTTAGCAGTGGTAAACAACACGCTAGACATTTACGAGTTTAGCAGTGGTATACAACACGCTAGACATATACGAGTTTAGCAGTGGTATACAACAGACCAGACATTTACGGGTTTAGCAGTGGTATACAACACGCTAGACATTTACGAGTTTAGCAGTGGTATACAACATGCTAGGCATTTACGAGTAAAGCAGTGGTATACCACACGCTAGACATTTACGAGTTTTAGCAGTGGTATACAACATGCTAGACATTTACGAGTTTTAGCAAGTGGTTTACAACACGCTAGACATTTACGAGATTAGCAGTGGTCTACAACACGTTGCACATTTACGAGATTATTAGTGGTATACTACACGCTAGGCATTAACGAGTTAAGCAGTGGTCTACAACACACCCTAGACGTTTACAAGTTTAGCAGTTGTATACAAACAGCTAGACATTGACGAGTTTAGCAGTGGTCTGCAACACGCTTGACATTTACGAGTTTAGCAGTGGTATACAACACGCTAGGCATTTACGAGTAAAGCAGTTGTATACAAACAGCTTGACATTTACGAGTTTAGCAGTGATCTACAACACGTTAGACATTTACGAGTTAAGCAGTTGTATACAACACTCTTGACATTTACGAGTTTAGCAGTGGTATACAACACGCCAGACATTTACGAGTTTATCAATGGAAAACAACACGCTAGACATTTACGAGTTTAGCAGTGGTATACAACACGCTAGACCTCGAGTTTAGCAGTGGTATACAACAAGCTACACATTTAAGAGTTTAGCAGTGGTAAACAACACGCTAAAGCTCGAGTTACGCAGTGGTATACAACATGCTAAGCATTTACGAGTTTAGCAAAAGTATACAACACGCTAGGCATTAACGAATTTAGCAGTGGTATACAACATGCTAGATATTTACGAGTATAGCAGTGGTAAACAACAAGCTATAGCTCGAGTTTAGCAGTGGTATACAACAAGTTACACATTTACGAGTTAAGCAGTGGTATAGAACACGCTAGACATTTACGAGTTTAGCAGTGCTTAACAACACGCTAGACCTCGAGTTTAGCAGTGGTATACAACAGGCTACACATTTACGAGTTTAGCAGTGGTAAACAACACGCTATAGCTCGAGTTTAGCAGTGGTATACAACACGCTAGACATTTACGAGTTTATCAGTGGTATACAACACGCTAGAAATTTAAGACTTTAGCAGTGGTTTACAACACGCTAGAAATTTACGAGTTTAGCAGTGGTAAAACGATATCATAAACATGGAGATATTTATGTAAATAGATAATGATAACTTACATGTCATTAGCTGTTTTATTTCAAACAGTTGACGACTTAAATCATCTATCTTTTGAAACTGTATTCAATTATCCACTCAGAATAAAAAAGTTTTTATATTCACTTAAACAGCATTTGTTAAATATCGAGCATTTAATTTTTAAAGAAAAAAAATGTATTTATACCTAACAGTAACAACACAACATAACCCCGCCAAGATGCGTTTCTAGTTTTTGTTTTGTTGTTGTTGTTGTTGTTTTCTCTCTCAGAGACTGTGTTAAATCTGTTTTATAAAATCTTGTTTTTATTTACTTCTTTTTATACCCGACAGAAGGGCCTCAAACAATACTGCTGTGTACTATACGTGCTATATAAAGCAAGGTTTTGGACACGTTAAATTTGTAGGCTTTTAGACCAGACAGGAACATCATTGGACATCATATATTCACAATGAAGACCCTCATCGTGATCTTGTTGCTGAGTTTTGTGTGCCTAGGTGAGTAAATTTGTATTTTTAATAGTTCAGAGACCTGCCGCTGTTATTTGTGCATTATTATATGAGCCGCGTCACGACAAAACCAACGTAATGCATCCGCGCAGTCTGATCAGGATCCATGCTGTCCGCTATCAGTTTCTCTAGTTGTAATAAAGTTTGTAAGCGAACAGCATGGATCCTGATCAGAGTGCGCGGATGCGGAGGCTGGTCTGGATCCATGCGTAGAGTTGATTTTGACGTGACGCGGCTCATATTCATCTGTTCATCTGTTCATTGCTTAGCTGGTTTAAGTTTTATCATTAGTATTGGTAGAATATATTGGGAAGAAAAAAAGCAAATAAATTATAAATAAACTAGAAGAAGAATTTGGCTTCAAAAACTTTTTGAGATCATGTCCTGCGTGTTATCATAGTTATTCAACATCACCGGGAATACTAGCGCAATAACTTAATAAACTTATGCTCGCTCAAATTGTAGAAAACATTTTGCGATATATGAAATTATTCTAAATTTAATCGAATATGAAGACACATGAGTCTTAGTCCTATTACTTTTTGAACTATCGTCGAACGGTTTAATTGAATTTGCAAAGCCTTGGGTCAAATTATTTTTGCATATAAGAGTCTGTTCACATTTTATGCCCCCCGAAAAATTTCGGGGGAGCATATAGTCGGCGCCTTGTCCGTCTGTCCTGTCCGTCCGTCCGTCCGTTGTCTTGTCCGGAGCATAATTTTTCCCTTGGGTTTTTGGGGGGTGGGTCTACAGTGGTAGGGGGAGCATTGAGGGGGAAATGCAGAGTCAAAAAAAACATAACTCCCATTTTGCCCCCGTTTTTGAATTAAAACTCCCCCCCTTTTAAAAAATTTGTCCGGGGGAAAAATTCCCCAAAAATTAAATTTGAGATATCAACATGAAAATTTGTAAAGGGGAAAAAGATCTCAATGGGGAGATGTGCATGCCAAAAAGGCTAAATCTTTTTTGTCCTAATTTTGGAGTTATTGCCCTTTGTTTATCTTAACACTTTGAATTTTGTCCGGAACATAACTCTTAAACTATAAGAGATATCAAGATGAAACATTGTAGGCAGATAGATCTCATTGAGTAAAGATGCAGTGCAAAAGAACCATAACTCTGTTAAGCCTCATTTTTTGAATTATCTCCCTTTTTAGAAAAATCTTGTCCTGGACATAGCTGTAAAACTATAAGAGATATCAACATGAAACTTTGTAGGTAGATATATCTCAATGGCTAGATGTGCAGTGATCAGGAATCATAACTTTGCCTTGCCTAATTCTGGAGTTATTGCCCTTTGTTTATTTTTACTTTTTGAAGTTGTCTGGGACATAACTCGGAAATCATAAGAGATATCATCAAGAAACTTTGTAGGTTGATAGATCACATTGATTAAAAGTGCAGTGCAAAGAACAGTAACTCTGCCTTGCCTTATTTTGGAATGATTGCACTTTGAACATTTTCCAGGGACATAACTCTGAAACTACAAGAGGTGTACTTTTCTGTGTCCAAAACCTATTCGGGGAGCATCACCCGGCTCAAACCGGGCTCTTGGTTGAACATGAAAACATGTTTTCCACTATTTTGACAACGTTAAAAGAACTCCCTAAAAGATCAATAATGTGGGGAAATTCTAGCGTAAGTAAATAACATAGGAACTCTGGAACAGGACCGCATATTGCGGCGCATAAATCCGAATCCGTACCGACTTTACATATTGTTTGCCCGACCTTTGAATATCTTTTCATACTATGCGAGCGGGTGGTCTTTAATTATCTAATCTCAATTTAATATAATCTGCTAATTTAAAAATCAGTCAAATTTACGGTATATTGAAAAAAGAAAAGGAGTGACATCCGCCATTTGCCGCAACGTTCGGCGTAAGTTATTCCCCTTGATATGCTTGATTTTTGTTTTAATTTTTTTAGTAATGAATACCAGATGAGTGCCTAAAATATTTATCTATGAATCATGTTTTAATATTACCTTTTTCAGTTAGGCAATATCAGTTGGACCATATTACTAAAGTGTCTGTTTTCTCCATGTTAACAAATCAAAACACGAATACGCCCGTTATAATGCCGCCTATACATGTCAACACGTGTAAACAATAAACCGTTAACGTTATATCCGGACGATACCTGATAGTTGACAAAAATAACGGGAACAAAATTCTGAAAAAATAGTAATCAATTGTAGCCAAAGGGGATAAACTCATGCCGAAAACGTTGCGGCAAATGGCGGATGTCACTCCTTGTCTTTTTTATAATACCGTAAAATTTGACCAGTTTTAAAAGAGACAGATTGGGTTCAATTGATAATATATTTTTTGAGTCCATACACTCGGATAATACTAAAAGATATTTAGATGTAGCTGAAACGTTTTTAAAAACCGTTACACGATCGAAAATATGCGCCGCAATCTGCGGTCCCGTTTTCGAGTTCCTATGGTAAATAATTCTTATAAACGTAATAAAATTCGGATTAACCTTATTTACGTGTTAGATGGTAGACCATGTCATACTTATTATCTCGACTATTCGCAGAATAGACTTTACACACTTGTTCTCTGTTATTATCTTAGATGATTGGCACAAGTCCCATAACTCTGATTTGCATTTTTACATAATTATGCCCTTTTTCTACTTAGAAATTTTTGGTTAAGTTTTTGCGTGTAAGCTGGTATCTCGATAACTACTTAAGGGAATGGATCCATAACTCTGATTTACTTTTTTGCATAATTATGCCCCCTTTTTCTACTTAGAAATTCTATGTAAATTTTTTGCTTGTAAGCTGGCATCTCCATAACTACTGAAGGGTTTTGTGCCTTTTCGGACAATTTTATGTATTCATACAGGTAAGCATTATTTTACTCAATGAAACACCCTTGTGACAACTTTTCGAAATAGTCGAGCGTTACAGTCCTCCGATAGTTCTTGTTTTTAAGACTAAAACCTTCGAAAACAGAATGGTTTTTTAAGCGAACAGCATGGATCCTGATCAGACTGCGCGAATGCGCAGGCTGGTCTGGATTCATGCTGATCACAAACCCACTATGTTGGTTTTGTCGTGACGCGGCTCATATATATATATATAAATCAAAACGTTTACATATTATTCCAGTACACTGTAGAGGTCCGCGGCTCTCCAACATGATTACGTCAAATTTGAGGAGTTCAAAGGTCAACAACAAACGGATGATCAATGAGACAAATATTCCACCATCACGTGGTCCAATGGAAGATGACCTTTACGAGATACAACAAGCTTTTATGTTTCCTGGAAGTAACTACCTTATAGACTTACTTAAAGATTACGTATCCTATATGATGGAAAATGACATGGACTCTGTTGACATGAAAGGTACGAACTTGTATTTGTGTTTGATATAAAGCAAAACAGATATAGTAACAATCCAGCTTTTGTGTTAAACGAATACCTAATAAGTTACCAGGTCTCTATGCATTAAAATGAATAAAATGCTTAAGGTGTATGCTATTTACTACATGAAAACCTAAATATGTAATTCCATTTTGAACATAACGGCAATACAATGTTGATGAAATTAATTTGTTCCGACAGAACGTTCAAAAATAAGGATTTTTTAATCCTCAATATGTATGTACTTTTATTCTGATTTGGGTAAACCTTCAGTAAGTACTGGCTGAACAGTACACGAACAGTACACACCATGATCAGACTGTCCGGATGTGCCGATTGATCTTGTTCTGTAATACACGCATGGAAAATATTAGTTGCCGCCATAGATTTATAGTTAAAGCGTATTTAAAAATCACGATTTTTCCAGATTTTTTCCAGTTTCCAGAATGCGACATAAAGGACTTAATGAGTGAATGGCGTAAAGTGTCACGTGTTGTAGAAGATACGGAGGTAATGGCCGTATACGCTACAAGAATGCTCATGAAACCAATTCTAAATGAGAGAATGAGATGTCCAGCAAACGTGGTCGATGTTGCAATTGCAAGTAAGTTCTCTATTTTGATGCATATCATCGCCTGTTCAAATTCCGATCATCGGACCATTTAACTTATTTGTCTTAGCTATAAACCATGTAGTCGGTAACGACGTATAAGATGCACGTTTTTCACGTTTCATACTAGATTTCTAAGTTTCATCGGATCTATTTATAACATATACAATATTGTTTTTTTAGGACTTCATTACATTATATTAAGAAGTATTTATCTTGCAATAGAACAAAAACCAATATTATTAAGATTTCTGAATTCGCCAACTTAAACAAAAGACAAGATTTGCGTTTTTATTTAAAACTTATGTACAAGGTACACTGTTTCATAAGTTTTTTGTTTGGTTTTGGGGAGAAACTGTTATACTAAGGATGAAGTTCGTATGATAACAAGAACCTAAAACTCACTTTTAAAGATGAAAACTACCATTTTTGAGGAGTGTTTATGTAGTATATACAAATGTTTTCCGACGAACTCCGTCACAGTTATCATAAGAACTCTTATAACATCGTGTGATGTTATATCAGGTACTCTCCTGTGTTTAGGATCTATTTAAAATATGTTATGTCAAAAAAGAATACATGTCATTTATCACTATTGTAGAAGCCTTGATGAATATACGAGAACATTACACGAACAATGAGGATAGCTCTTGGTACAAAATGTTCATGGACATCTTGCCGCAACTCGACTCTCAACTACAACCATATGTACAAGACATTGCAAACCAAGGCGTTGAATGAACTGCACGGATATCTGTTCGACCAATCAATAGAACTGCTCTTTACATTCGGATTACGTGGTAAGCAATGCATTAGAAATTTACCCTGCTGAAGGAGAAAGTGTTTTTCTCTAAGCCACCAGTATACAGTACATCCGTGCAGTCTGACCAGGCTCTGATGGCTAGCCAACTTCAAATTTTCACCTTGTTATTCACTAAAACTGATAATGGACTGTTACAAAAGGGAAATTGGAAAAGTCCATTTATGAATTTCAGCAGGTAAAGGGCTAACATTTCACCAGCAGGCTTGACATTGTTTATTGCAAATAACTTTGTTATTTACAGGAGCCCGTTTTTGGACTTCAGGGAATGTCTCTCTGAAATATAATTTTTCAATTTAAGGACTTTAAAACATTTACAATATGTGCGAGAATGTTAAATTCACAAAACAATATACGAGTATTTCAAATTCATAATTCCTTTCTTTGAATTTAATTGTCTAGTTTTCTTCAGTACACATGTTTCAGGCAATATACCTTCATTCAAGATTCTTTCCCTTTCAGACGTTGCTTTTACATCACACAGACTGTATGATAACCTCAGAGGGTACTTTGATATGGAAGATATGTACCCACAAGACAGGGAGAATATGCTAAAGGAATCCGTGCGAATGTCTTTGTGGGATATCTGGTGTCCGGTTTCGTATGAAATTATTGAGAACCACAGGAAAATAGTCATGACGTTTAAAAATGAGTAAGTATACAGTTTGAAAGTGGTCTATATATGTATCTCATGAAATTGAAAAACTTATCCATTTTCAAATAGCCTTATCATTTTGATTTATCAAAATAAAGATTTAGCCCAAATTATATAGAAATGGTAAAAATAGATGTTGTAAGAGGTTGAAAAACACCACAGGGATTGTGATATTACTCAATGGTTCTGGTATTGTCATATCATTAGCATTGTTGGTTGACAAAATAACTGTCCTTGCCTTCATAAAAACGGATACAAATATGAAAATAGCTTTCAAGATGCTAAATAAAGTTTTTATAATGTCGCGCCACTATTTTCAGCATTACCTCGACATAAAATTAATGAAAATGATTATCGTATACACATACTGGTATTATTTATTGTTTTTCTATGCTCTTGGACTTTAAACATACTACCTAAACGTACGTACTCATTTCTATTATAGTATGATCATTTCATATACAATATGAATTTGTATATGTCACATATATTGTTATTAACCTTTTGCAACTTATAAGCTGTCTATTTTTAGGTTCGAGATGATCGAGCAAATGCACATTTGTCCTAAAGTAGCAGATTTCCTATATAGATATATCGACAATAACTTACCTTGGCATAATGCCACATTTGAGAATACACAAGGTTTTTGGATGCTATGTGATCTAGTAGGGGACATAGTAAAAGAAACTGTTGAAGGCTACAAGGACTACGAAACTTTTCTGTATACCATGAACATCGGGGACTTAGAAAGTGTGCTACAAAAATACTTGAGTAAGTTTGTTTCAGTGTTTGGCCGCTTTAATAGTGCCATTTAATTTTCCTTTTACTTTATTTAAATGATAATTAGGTTACTTTAGTCCAACATGTAACATAATTACTATATAATACAATTTAGATATGATGCTACTTGCATACAAAATTCGATTGTCAGGCAGATAATTCTTTTTATGGAAAAAACAAGTACAATATTAGCAGTTAACATATCATATTGACCCGAGAATCTGAATGTGTTACACATAATGATGACTGTCGCATGCAAAAATCGTGTTCCCAACTCAAAAGTTCAAGGTCACACTTGTAGATATAATAATGATGAGTTTTATAAAAGTACACTGATCCATGTCCGGTCAACAGTTCTGTCATTCTCGGATGGATAAAGAAATTAAAACGCATTTATGTATTCGACATAATGACGATGTGTCGCGCGCATGAATCGTGTCCTTACCTTCAAGGTCAAGGTCACACTTGTAGACAGTTGTAGTCCAGTCATAACTAAAATTCCTTTATAAAAAAAGTACATTGTTGGTTGTGTCTGCTCAACAGATGATATTCCTGGGCGGATTTGAAAGTATTCGGCACAAATGTATAAGACGTGTGTCGAGCACAGTGGTTGGGTTTTCAGTTTAATAGACTGTATTCCCTTCTCAACTACATCCTGTACAGTTATGGTCTACCTCGCATGCGAGTTGTCGCCAATGATACCCTGACCGAAAGTCATTGCACTTTTAATGCATATCACGAACTGTCTTGTAAATTATACTTCTAGCTGATGAAGACTGGAATGTATTTACAGACGCTCTTAGAAGATTGGGATTTTTCGATACAACTGTAGTAAGGTAAGCAATTGTAAAACTTGCATATTTGTTCTCATCCCATAACTGCAGATTTTTATCATGTATCTGGTCTCCAAAGCTGACAGCGATAGTATTTCCTTGCTATTTGTCTAATATTTAAAAATGGACATAGACATTTAAAAAGGTAAATTAGATAAATATTTCGGCAACGCGTTTCAACTAAAACAATTCAGAATTCTAATGAGTATACTTAAGTGCTTTTTATAAAAAAAATAAAAGATAACGTATTGACTTATGTAAGATTGTCAACTATTTTTCAGATCCTTGGATCGTATTTCGTCGAAGTGGTTAAAGAGAAAATGATATTAAACTCTATTTATATCGTTGGGTATTTGTTGTAATGAGATGATAGAATAAAATATTCGATAAAGCTTCTAAAACCATTTTTGTTTGTTTTGTCTTGTTTAAGCGGTTGCTTTTGTATACAGAAGCGATAATGATTTATCAACGCCTCTAGACTCTGAATACTCTTGTAATTTTCCTAGACTTTGGCAACTCGGATTTTATAATAACCAGTATCTACTACCTCTAGACCTAACGTATACTCCAGACTTAAGTTTACAATGTCGTAATGCCCAAATGTCTGATAATTTCTTATTCCAATATGATGTATAAAACAAAGAACTTATGAATAGCGTTTTCTTCAAACCAATCGACAAAGAATATGTATTATGTAATCTGGATTCATTTACTACATCATTGGCTGGTTTCCTGCTTTGAAATAGACGAGTTTGATTTTAAGAAACGTTGGTTGATTTGCATCATCTACGGTCAAATAATCCATTTGAGAATATGGGAGAAAATAATTATTATTTGATTCCTAAACAACGTTAATTAAAATGTGTGCTGAACAAACAATATCATACAGATGGTCGACGTAGAACGTAATTATTGACCTTCCGAAATGTCAAACATATATCTAAAATGTTTTAATAATAGATTAAGAGCATGTTAAACATTTAATAACTGAAGAAAGTAGCGTTGCACGTGCAGTAATGTGTCACAAAGGATGCAAATGTAAACAAAGTAGTATTATACAAAATTAATAATTCACTATAGTTCTATCAGAGCAAAAGAAGCAAATAATAGTTCATCTACATGGTAAACAAGTTGTTTTTTTAAACTGTAACAAGATACCAAAGATTTTGAGAAATAAAATGATTTGAGGCATACATGTTTTGGGCCTTTAATGCACAAGAATGAAGGGCTTTGTAACACCGCACTTTGGGGTCAAACGCACTTTGGGGTCCAATTTTGACCCCAAAGTGCGTTAAACAGGTACATATGCATTTTTTAACATCAGGCAAACGACCGCACTTTGGGGTCAGAGAAAATTATTGTTCATTATGTTTTAAATAATATATTGTAGTCAAAGCAGATGGTAAACAAAAAACAAGGTATTAAATAGACGCAAAACATGTGCCCTGAAAGTATAGTAGAATCAATAGGGATTTAGATTGTCTTTATTAGTAAGTGAAGAACTTTCACCAAATAAATCACCAAAGAATTTGTATCAATTATTAAGTTTAAAATATTTTTTTCTCAAATTTTCCATTTGTTTTAAACGAATGTACACCTTTCATTAACTCCATTGTTTTTTAGCTAAATGCATCTTTTTCCCGTTTTTTAATTACACATTTTATAAAAATATAATAGTCTCAGTATAGACAAAGGTATAAGTTCTTAACATTTCAGTAAAAAATGTGCCTGATAATATGTTGAAATAGCCATTTATGTGACACATAAGAATCCTGACTAGGTGTAGATGCGGCTTTAAGTAGTAGTGCGTACAGGCAGTACTAAAAATATCAATTATTTAAGTAGTCCCACACTAAGAACGGAGCTTCAGAATAATGTAAAATTCTCACTGGGGTATAGAGGGGATTGTAGGGTATCGATCCCCCCGAGGGTTAAAAATAACGTTTTAAAGGCCCATTATGCTTTTATTTGTTTTTCTAAAAAGCTTTTTTATTTTGACGTTCTTCTATATTATCCAAAAAATACACATTGGCCGATAACCTGAACTATCTTTTTCAACTGTTGCTTTTTGGCAATGATGAGTACAGTTATAGTGAATTAGTTTTTTTTATATGGAAGTCAAATAAAGCATTGTTTTGACTACTTTTATGACAAATAAATTCACATTTATCGCTACTTTTTTCAGGTAACAAGCATCTTACATTTCTCAGGTACCATTATTTTAACATTATAAAATTCATGTTTGCTCTTTCCAAAGAAGTATGTAAGATTTCCCATTAAAAAGCCTCAGCCGAACGGTTGTTACGGAGCTTACAAAAACCCTTAAGTTTGTTGATAAGCTTAATAATGTATTTGTAAAAATCACTATTTATAGTCCGATCGAAAACTTGATGTTTCACCAGAACATTGCAATAGAGTATATTTATAGTTCTTTGGAAAAAAAATATTAACTGCATTTTATTTCATTCCCAAAATATTTAAAATGGGGCTCAATATGGCACCAAAAGTTATCAAATAAATGACTGACAGAACGGGATATTTTCCGCAGCATCTTTTAATTTTAGGAATACACAATTTCTGTACTAGAGTATTTTGAACGGTGGCATAAAAGTGACATTTGCAATTTTTATTTTGATACTTTTTTTGTACATACTTTTTGTTTGTTTGTCGTACATATCTTTTTTAGTTTTGAATACAAACTTTTTTTAAATTTTGCATACATATTCTTTTTTAGTTTTGCATACATATTTTATTTTAGTTTTGCGTACATATTTTATTTTAGTTTTTTGTACATATTTTGTTTTTGTTTTTTCGTACATATTTTTACATGACGCCATTTGCAAAGTAGATGTTTTGATAATTACGCCATTTGTAAAACACCATTTTGAAACACTGCGCCATCTGTAAATTACAGTACCCCATTTGCAAATGCCATTTGCAAATATAAACATTTTCATTTTTGGAGGTATCAAAAAAATATTAACATTTTTAGACATATATAGTCCGCGGTAACCCAAAGAAAGGTTCTGCATATGGTCTCGATGTGGTTAACATTTGACACAAGGTGCCTTAAAATCCTTCATGGGATTTAGGTGATAAGGAGCGAACAAGAAACCCAAGTCTTAATCCTTTGACCTGTAGGTGTGACCCCGACCTTGAGCCGGCACACCTGGCATATAATTTCTCCACATTATCTGGATGTGCTAAAGAATTCACCCAAAATTCATAAAAATCCTTCAAAGCTTTAAGCATTTTTTCTAAATCAGTGGAATATAAGAACCTATTTAGATCTTTTATTGTGAATAGTCATTTGTAACCACTTCCTTTGCCCCCGGGGGAGTGCGGGTTAAAAAAGAATCGTGTTTTTGATGTTTGCGCTGTTCCGGGGCATAAGGCAAGAAAGTTATTACCTGAGTATCCCCCACATGGCGAAGATTTTAACAGTTGTCGGCTTGGTTTAAAGTCAATGCCCCCCCCCCCGCTATTCTCAGGGGGTGTGGTTGAGTGGTGCATAATAATGGAATAATAACTGATCACAATCAAAAGCCCTTTCCAAATAGAAACTTATATAATAGTACATAATAATAAAAACACAATAATTTTAAATACATATAATTTAAAAAATGGGCCGAAAAGGGTCGACGGAACCAAACTAGCGCAGCCGAAAACGACTGGGCCGATTCAAAAATGGGTCGAAATGTGACCAAACCACTATGCTAGTTTTATACTCAACTATGGGCTGTTATGAAATGTGAAGGCTGTTTTGATTGACTTAAATATGTACGAAAAATAAAAACTCAATTTGTACGAAAATCTTAAATAAAATATGAATGCAAAACTAAAAAAAAATATGTAAATTTTGTATTCAAAACTGAAAACAAATATGTATGCAAAACTTAGATAAAATAGAATCTATGTTTGCAAAACTAAAAACAAACAAAAAAAATGCAAATGTCATTTCTATGCCACTGTAATTTTGTTATATGAACACAATTTTTAGATATTTTAAGTGGTAAAATTAATGAAACTTTTAAGCAACATCAAAGTATTGACCGCCATCTTGAACTCCACTTCAAATATTTCAATGTCTCCGATCCAAAATACGTCAGTACTCAGTATTTAAGCAGAACTCAGATGACACCTTTAGACCTCTGGAACCCAAAGTGCGTTGATATGTAGCATATTAACGCACTTTGGGGTCAATTTCTCGATTTTGACCCCAAAGTGCGTTTCTCCCCAAAGTGCGGTGCGAAGTTTAACGCACTTTGGGGTCGGACCCCAAAGTGCGTTTGACCCCAAAGTGCGGTGTTACAGGGCTTAAAATAAAGTTCTGATTTTATTTCAATAACTTTCATTCATAAGAAACAAAATAGTCATATGCAGAGATTTAAATTATTTTTTCTATGCTTTTTAATCGAAGTATTCTTTTTCATTGATTTATGATAATGTTAAAGCAAGTTTTAAGATACAAAGATACATTTTAAAGTTAATCTGCGGTATCAAATTTGTACGCTGTGGGGCAGTACGTTGTATTTTGAAATAAAGAATTTTAGCTGGTGAAAAATAGTTCCAGGAGATTTCGAACTCTCAAGCTAAATATCTTGTTTTATTTACTGCAATATACATGTATAGAGTCAAATGAAGAATTATCTCTTAAAACACAAGACGCATGAAATGGCTGCGAAGGAAGGTTTTTCGGTTTTACGTCACATCGACACAGTATAGGTCATATTGCGACGTTCCAGCTTTACTGGTGGAGGAAGACCTCGGGTGCCCTTCCGTGCATTATTTCAGGCACGAACGGGCACCTGAGTAGAACCACCGACGTTCAGCAAGCCAGCTGGATAGCTTCTCCACATGAAAGAATCTAAAGTCGCTGTCGGGATTCGAACCCACAGCGTTGAGGAGCAAGTGGTTTGAAATCGACGACATTAACCACCGTGCCACGGACGCCCCTGCGAAGAAAAGGTCAGCTGTGCACTGCATACCTTGAGAAGATCCGAACACAATACTACCTTTACGAATGTTCATTTAGATTAAATCTTTTAATGGAATGACCTTGTATTTTTAGATCCTGTCTGTGTTTCATAGAAAGTCCTGAGCGTACCCCAAGTCCCAGGACAAATTATAGGACTTAAAACGTTTCAATAAATATTTTTTTCTCTTGTCAAGGACTTTGACATTAATTAATGTCAATCTCCTGGGAAAAGTTAAGAGATACGTAAAAACCTACAATGTGTTCATGCTAATATACATGGCTATTAAGAAATTCAACAAGTATTAATTTAGGAGTCGTAACCTATGACAAATTCTTTGAATCCCGAATCTATCTCAGATTTGGTCTAAATACTAATCTTAGACTTAGGACTTTCCATGAAACGCAACTCTGGCTAA